ATATATATATATATATATATATATATATATATATATTTATGGTCTTTTACCTCATAATTAGGTGGAATTCTTGCCCCGAAGCCCAAAGCAGAGAATCGTTTGTCACTGTGATCAGATAAATACATTTATTAATAAATAAAACAACACATTGGGAATTTGTTTTGGAAAAAAACACCTAAATACAGGGGTTGGGCAAAATAATGTGTACACCTTGCAAAATTGGCAATATTTCTTTATTAAGTTGTTTTACCACCATTTTTGCCCTTAATACAACTTCCAACCTTCTTAGAAAAGATTCATAAAACTTTTTAATAGCCTCCAGTCGAATGTTGTCTATAAAAACATCTACCAGTTGCTTTAGAAATGCTAAAGGAGGGAATCAGCTTCTCACTCCTCTCTTCAAAACTGCCTCCAGTGGTTTGATATTATTCAGGTCAGGTGATTTGTCTGGCTAGGGCAGATGCTGAAGTTCATCTTGGTGCTCCAACTGTCCAGGTTTTATATCATGACGCCATCTTTTTTTAATTTTAGCATTGGTGTCTGTGATTAAAGTTTTAGCAATTACGGCTTTTGAAGGCTTGAAGTTCTCTCTGGTTGGTTTTTGTGGAAACAGGGTCTTCAAGGTGAATATTAAGGTTGCTGTCATTTTTGCAGCAATAGTTCTGTGTTGTTTGGACACAGTCCCTCTTAGTTTTTGACCGTTCCTATCATTAACTTGAATATTCTGAAGAATGTTGGTAACCAAAGAGTCGATGGTAGCTATTAACTTCCATAGTATGGAGAGAAAAAAAAATACTAGGGAAGTCAATGGCTACCAGCAACTGTTCAGTTACTAAAATTCTTCAAAATATCTTTGTGTTCAGCACAATAAATATTTTGAAGAATACCGGTAACCAAACAGTTGTTGGTAGCCACTGACTTCCATTACTATGGAACTCAATAGCTATCAGCAACTTTTTGGTTACCAGCATTCTTCAAAATATCTTCTTTTGTGTTCAGCGGAAGAACAAAACTGATCCTCAGTGCAATTTTGGAACAACTTGAGGGTGAGTAAATGCTAGCATTTTCATTTTTGGGTGAATTATACATTTAACCTCTACAGTAATGGATGTTTACATTTATTTTGTCCAAACCTTGTATGTGCAACTCTTAGGTCCTTTCTCAAATATGTTATTCATCAAAACCCCTTCCACATAATCACACACAGGGCTTAATATCAACAAATACACCACCAGCATAACAAGGTTCAAATATCAATAGGGTGAACATGGCGTACTGTTGAGGACAGAGTTGTGTGCACGATCATATTATGTATTGGAGCGTGTTGGAGGGATGAAAGAGACTCCCAGAGGGAGAGGAGAAGGCACAGACGCAGCAGGACAGCAGATCCGCACAGCTGATCACGCAACAGGCGACAACTCACAGCTGTGTTACAGAGAGAGGAAGGGTATCATGAGGTCAGAAGCACAGAGGCGTGCAGTAGAGAGCTGAGACATGAGAAACACGATAACCACAGGCACAGAGCTTGTCTTTCACTTGCTAATGAAAGCTAGATGAGGTAGCACCATTCTGATAGCTGTCACCAGAGGCCAGTAATGCCGGCCAATCAATGCCACCTTCTCTTGCTCCAAAAGCTGAGGTGTGATTTGAATGAATCGCAGTTGAGCCAAGTTTGTGGAGTATCTTTATGCAAACAGCTTTAATGGATGAAGCTATTGCAATTATTCTCTATTTGAATTCACTAAATTGAGTGCACAAAACTTTTATTCACTGCAAGGTTGTTCCTCATTCTGAACTGAATTGAGAATGCTTGAGCTGCTAAATCGGAGCTGAATTTGAAGTGAGGTAGTAAACAGGATGCAGAATTGCGATTAGAATATATTCGAATGTAAGGAAGTAGAATTACAACAAATTAAATTCTAAGAAATCCATATGACTCATATTTAACTAGAAAAGCAAGACAAGCTTTGAATGCTTGACAAAGTCTTGATTGATATTTAAAAAAAAAAAAGTTAAAAAAGTCTTTGAAGTTAAAAGGTTTTATAGGCCTAAAGAAACGCATAATGATAGAAAGATAGGAACTGAATTGAGAATGCTTGAGTTGCTAAATCGGAGCTGAATTTGAAGTGAGGTAGTAAAGAGGATGCAGAATTGCGATTAGAATATATTCGAATGTAAGGAAGTAGAATTACAAAAAATTAAATTCTAAGAAATCCATATGACTCATATTTAACTAGAAAAGCAAAACAAGCTTTGAATGCTTGACAAAGTCTTGATTGATATTTAAAAAAAAAAAAGTTTAAAAAGTCTTTGAAGTTTAAAGGTTTTATAGGCCTAAAGAAACGCATAATGATAGAAAGATAGATTTGTATTTAGTTTATACATTTCATCAAATAAATTATCCTTTGCAAACCAGGGTGGAAGAACACTTTCCAGAATGCATTACCTGTTTCTTGAATTGTAATTAAGTAAATGTATAGTCTTTATGTATAATACATTATAAAGGTATTTATAATGTGCATTATAATGCATTATATCTGTTCATAAATAATTGTAAAAAAGAAAAAAGTTAGGTAACACTTTAGTTTATGGACCAATTCTCACTATTAACAAGTTGCTTATTAGCATGCATATTACTAGCATATTGGCTGTTTATTAATACTCATAAAGCACATATCAATGCCCTTAATCCTACCCCATACCTAAACGTAACGACTATCTTATTAACTATTAATAAGCAGCAAATTATAAGTATATTGAGGCAAAAGTTGTAGTTAATAGTTAGTTAACAGAGAGAATTGGACCTTAAAATAAAGTGTGACCAAAAGTTAAAATGGATTATAATATTTACCGATTCCTTGTTACATCGAATATTGTTATATAACATTAACATTAAATAATAACATTATAACATTATAATGAAATATAATATTTTAAAGGTGTAACAATAGAAATAACAAAAGAAATGTGTTATAATGTATTATAAATCTTGTTGCAGTTATTCATGAGATCATACAATGCATTATAATGTGCATTACAAGGCATAATTAATGCATTTAAAATACTTGTATAATGCATTACACATATAAGCTTCAAAGTTACCAACTAAACTAACTAAAATAATATAAAATATTTTTAAAATAATTGTATTTTATTTTATTTAAATTAATTTTTATTTTATTAAAACAACAACAACAACAAAAACTAAAACCTAATTAAAAAAACTAGACATATTAAAAAAATAAATAAAAAACAACAACAGTGTTACTAAAACTTTAACTAAAATTAAAATGAAAACCAAAAATATAAAAATAAAATCCAATTCAGAATATTAACAAAAACTACAATAATAAATCAGTAATATGAAAATTAACACTGACAGGGACATGTCAAACTCACAGTTTTTGCATCTAAAACAGCCATTTTAAATGAAACCCCACCTAATAAACTCTTAAGCATATGGAGTATCAATGAATATCTGATGAATGTCTGAATATCCTGCTCGGTAGCCTCCGATAGGACAGAACTCTTGACCCATGTGTGGCCCAGCTGATTCTCCTCACATGTTTGGTTGCCTGAAGACATCATGCTGTGACAGCTATAGAGAATGTTCCTTCAAGCCGATCCATGAAGAGACGCACACTAATGTCTAACATGATGTAATCACCATCTCCATAATCACATCATATCTAAAGTGAACGAGAGCTATTTAGCTGTGATAATTGAACATAGTGAAGAAAGGACTCATTACTGAGATACTGAAACATAGAGACAAATATTAAAGCTGTTCTATCCTTCTTCAACTCTCGGCTTCCTGCCGTTTCAGATGCAACTAAGTCCACTGAAGCCTAGCAGGCAAATAAAGTTGCCAAAGTCTGTAAATATTTTTTAAATGTGTCGACAACTTTAAGCAGAGCTTTTTACAACTTGCTGGACAATCATATTTACATGAATAAAACACTTAAAATGCACTATGAAATAGGGACCTTTTCCTGTTTAATAAGATGATTTTCATAGTGAAATTTCCACTTTTTGGATGATGGACAGAATTATGATGTCTCTATCACAAAGTTTTTATAACTTATTATTATTATTAGGTACAGTAGATGCACAATCTAAGGAGACAACTTTGAGTGTTCTTACAAATGCATTATGTGAAGTAAAACTGAAAGAATACATTGAAAGTTTAAAGGTTTTATTTACACATATTTATAAAAATATGCATTGTATATATGTAATTATGCATTTGCTACTGTAGCAAGCAAAAACAAGTGGCTCTCAGCCCCATATATATATATATATATAAATAACAAACAGCACCTATTTTGTAGAATCACCCAAAGATTGCAAAATAGCTGCACAGTATGTTCATATGAAAGACTGTGCAAATAATTCTACTTCTCTAGGGAAAATCTGATCATTAGTCTATATACCATGTCTTCTGAAGTGATATGATAGCCGCAGCTCTCAAGTTTCACTGTAGCTCTCAAATATATAATGTCTGTGTATTCTCAAGAAAAAAGGAGGAAAATAATACGGGGTTGAAACCAAATGAAAGTGAGTAAATGAAAATATTTGTATTTCTTGGTGAACTGATAGTTTAATGGAGACAAAAACTACAGAAATAACAGCATGAAGTCCAAGCTATCATTTTTCTTTTTTCCCTATAAGCAGTTAAAGGAACTGTAAATAGGAATTTCAAGATATGACATCACAACACTTTGCAGGTGGGTTGCAGAAACATCATGTGTGTAAGACTAGCAAATGAGTATGAAATTTGATGACAATCTGTAGTTTAAATGGGTGAGCAGCACCTGGCTTTCAAACGTCGCTAATTTTCACACATCGCTAGACAATCTCTAAACTCTGATATGCCCTGAAGAACAAATAGAATCATTTCAGATAACCAACAGATTATCTTGACAGATAACGGAAGTGAGAGAAAAGTGTTTATTACGTTTGAAATATGGATATTTTTCTTACAAAAACGCATGGATTCACTACAGAAGGCCTTTATTCACCCCCTGGAGCTGTGTGAGGCACGTTTTTATTATGGATGCGCGCGCTTTATTTGACAATTTGTGGACTGTTCAACTGCAACACCC